CTTCTCTCCATGTCCACTGCCTCCACCACCTGGACCACTGCAGTGTCCTCCTCACTGCTTCCCCTTCTCATCCGTCCTCACAGCAGCCAGAGGGTCCTGTTACAACCCGAGTCAGACCAAAGCCCTCCTATTCTCAGACCCCTGTTGTGGCTCCAGCTCTCAGAGAAAAAGCCAAAGTCCTCCCTGTGGCCAATGAGGCTCTACACAACCAGGCCCACGTCACCTCTCTGATCTCAACTCCTGCCACCTGCCTTCTGGCTTTCTCTGCTCCCACTGTGATGACCTTGTTACACACACACACACACACACACACACACACACACACACACACACAGCCAAGCTCCCACCTCGGGCCCTTTGTACTTGCTTGCTTTTCCTTCTACCTATAATTCTCCTTTTCCAGAGGCAAGGCTGACAGATTTGGCCAGTAAAGAGACAAGCCCTTGTTCAATTCAGGTGTTTGCTACTTACATAGACAGCAAAGCAAGAATAGCCACAAATGCCAGCTCATGTTCCTCGTGTGGGTAACAGTGAAACAAAAGGGGCCAGATGACTGCTGTACAAGTGGTAGGACAGACACTCTGCTGCAGAGGAACTAATTCCACATTAAGCAGTTCTATAGTCCTAAATTGGGGGGAAGAGAGGGACAGAATGCCTCCTTCCTCATCAGAACCTCAGGTGATGAGAAACTGTCTCACCACAGCCTCTTTGGTACATTAGGGAGGTTAATGAGAACTGGCCTCGAAGCATTTTCTCACAAGCCTTTCGTGCTCTGTGCTCTGAAGATCAGAGAGTATTCTGCCAATAGTCAGATCAACTTGCCTACCTGGCCTACCTGGAGTCTTGCAAGGCAGCCAGAGTGCCATGGCGGAACCACTGCCCTACACCAGATATCCTCCTCCTTACTTTCCCTCTATCTGCAGGTCTCTATTGTCAAGTCCCCTTCTCTGAGTTGCCTTCCCTGACCACCCTGTGTAAAATATCACATCCCATCATTCTCCATCCCCTGCTTTATTTTCCTTAATGCTTGCCACTTCCTAATGTCACATTACCCACCAATTTACTACTTTATTGTCCGTGGACCCCACCAACACATGAGTGACTCCTGAAGGAAAAAAATTGTCATATTCTTTGCTGTGTCCCTACTATTATCTAACACACATAGTATTTACTGACTACATCTAACTACCAAACACTGTTCTAGATGTCTCCCATATCTTGACTCATTTAATGGGTATTATCCCCACGTTGTAAGTGAAGAGACAGGTTTTTAGAAATGGGTTTTGGAGGAGGGAAGACAGGACCTCTGATGCTGAGCAAAAGGATAGTCCTTCTGTCTAGAGAACCCAGGGGGTCCTGAGGGGAGGGGAAGCAGGAAGCCATTACCTAGAAAATATTAACTTAAGAATTGTCAGATGTCTGCCCTGGCCGGTTTGGCTCAGCGGTTAGAGCGTCGGCCTGCAGTCCAGAGAGACCTGGGTTTGGTTCCCGCTAAGGGCACGTACCTCGGTTGCAGTTTGTCCCCGGCCCTGGTTGGTCGTGCGGGTGGCAGCCACTCGATGTGTCCCTTCACTTCGATGTTTCTCTCTCTCTCTCCCTCCCTCTCTATCTGTACAAAAAATGGAAAAATATCCTCGGGTGAGGATAAAAAAAAAAAAAGAATTGTCAGATGTCAAGAAATAGAAGCTAGCATTTATAGAGCAGGGTGTCTTGAGGCCCTTGGAATAGAAATGCCTGCAACTATGGAGAGAGCCTTGGGAGACAGGGCAGACCTATAGAAAACAGATGACAGCTACCCACCTACCACGCCGATGCGGCACACCTCAAACAGTTTTCTTTTTAACTTTTTATTATGGAAAATCTCAAACTTACACTAGTATTGAGATCACCCAGATTCAACAGTCATGAACATAGCATTATTCTTTTTTCCTTTAATCATCACCCGAGGATATTTTTAAGATTGATTTTAGAGAGAGAGGAAGGGAGAGGGAGAGAGAGAAACATCAGTCGGTTCCTCTGATCCGGGGATCAAACCCACAACCTGGGCATAAGCCCTGACTGGGAATCCAACTTGTAACCCTTCGGTGCATGCGACAATGCTCCATCCAAACAAGCCACATTGTCCAGGACTAAACAGCATTTTTCAAACTGCAGGTTCCATAAACATTTGAGTAGTTTTGGGCCAACTGACTTTGTTAAAACACAATAAACCAGGAAACATCAGGGGACTTTGCACATTTCATCATTAAACCTTTCTTCCTCTTACACAACTGGATAGACTAAACCCCAGTGAAGAAAAATATACTTCACTATGGATTGTAGTCATAAAGTTTAAAATAGATTGCATTTTCTGCGCTTGTAAAACTGAACTAGATAAAGGAAACTTTCAGATATGAGTTTTACTTAAAAAGTTTAAAAATTTGACCTGCTGGCACGTTAGAAATGGTAATGCAGGACAATACCATGAAGTTTTTTTTTAATCCTCACCTGAGGACCTTCTTTTTTTTTTTTTTCCATTTATCTTCAGGTAGGGCAGGAGGGAGGGGGAAGAGAGAATCATCGATGTGAGAGAGACATATGGACTGGCTGCCACCCACATGACCCCAACCAGGGCCAGGGACAAACTGCAACCGAGGTGCATGGCCTTAGCGGGAACCAAACCCGAGACTCTCTGGTCCGTGGGCCAATGCTTTAACCACTGAGCCAAACTGGCCAGGGCAATACCATTAAGTTTAAAGATCCCCCCACCCCATAGGATCTAAGGAGGCTCTCCATAACCTTGAACATTTCTCCAGTATATTGTATGTATATTCACAGAGTGGGAAAAATAAAGATTATGAAAAGCTTCAAGTTAGGCCTGTCACCAAATTTGAAAAAAAAAAAAAAAAAAACTTCTGGTTTTTCAGACCTTGGGGTACTCTGAATTACAAGGGATCATGGTCCTTATGTTAGCCCAGGAAGGGGTGGGAGATGGAAGAGGTATGCAGCTAGGCAGGCAGGGATGTGGCATGTTTTGTCTTGATAAGCAGAGGAGTGGTAGGAACACTGGTACTGATTCTTATCCAAGGTGTTTTTTTTTTTTTAAAACATACCTGTAGTCACAGCTTTTTTTTTTTTTTTTTTTTTTTTTTTGGTACATGCCCCTAGCAGGAGCCGAACCCGGGACTCTCTGGTCTGCAGGCCAACACTCCAACCTCTTGAGCCAAACTGGCCAGGGCCACAGCATCTTATTTTAAAAGGCTATTTAAGTTTTCTACACCTCTACATCTAGAATGCGGGCAAGGCTGTGGGGGTAGTGTCAGGGTCGTCCAACTCCACCATCAGGTGGGCACTATTCCCATTTTACACACATTGAACCTGAGGCAAAGAAATTGAGATAGGAAGCAGGGTCTGAAAACTGATTCAGCTCACATGGGGTGAGAAAGGAAAGGTATGGTTGTTATTCTGCAACTTGAATGAAAGGGGTCATTTATGGGATGTTTGTAGACAGTTTTTGGTATAAGCAAGATTCAGGGCTTTAAAAGTATTTGCAGGCCAGGGGTCGGGTTGTCACAGGCCTTGGGACACAGGTTCCTAAGGCACCTTTGAATGTTTGGAAGTTTCTTGTTTCTGTGGGTTCTTGGGAAACATGCACATTATTGAGACCCTGGTTAAACTGAAGCAGAGAACTAATAGGCACTTTTGTCTGCAAATTTTATTGATCAGCAATTTTAGTGCCAGAAAAAACCGAGTTCTCTAGGTCCCTTCCCTTAAGCAAATAAACAGCAAGATACCGTGCACCTCCCTGGGCTGGATTACAGGGCACCTTCCGAAACCAGGAGAGCAGAGCAAGTCGATCAAGTTGTCATTCAGGTCTAGGCAACTATGGTCTTTATTGGTCTTGCTTGGGGGATCATTTTGTTGCAGGAATTTTGTAGATTAAATGATTCTGTCTCAGGTTGCACTGTGGATGAGGACATTTTACTCCCCGAGGTGCAGGGAGCAGAGGAGCTCCTCCTCAAACGCCTCACAAGGCTGGAACACTGGTCCACTGCCTTAGATCCTTTAAGGTTCAGCACAGAATGCCTACTCAGACCAAGTACCCAACCGGTGAAGGTGACCACAATGCCCTTACCTGGGCCTTGCTCAGTGGGCTAGGCAGGACCACCTGGTTGAAAGGAAGAAGGGTCCTTGGGGGCCTGTCCCAACTAGAGGGCAGACCTGGGAAGCAGGGTGCTAATACTGGCACTCACAATACAGGGGCCTATGCTGTCAGTTTAGGCTGTTTTAACAGTACCAGACTTTTGGTGGTTTTTAAACAGAAACTTCTCAGTTCTGGAGGCTGGAAGTTCAAGATCAGGGTACCAGCATGGTTCAACTCTGGTGAGTGCCTTCTTTCCAGAATGCCTTGTATATCCTCATGTGGCAAAGGGGGAAGCAAGCTGTCTCTAATATGAGGGCCCCACCCTCATTTAACCCAAGTTATCCCAGAAGTGCCTCACACTTCCTAATACTATGGTACTGGGGAGGATTCTGGTGTTTGTATTTTGAAGGGACATAACCAATTAACACCATACTTCAGGAATGACAATAAGGCAGTTTAGGTTGTCCTGGAACTGGCAATCTGTTGGTATGTCGCTGAACTTCAGCCAGATGGAAGCCATGGACACAACTGATTAGGGATTTCACCTCAAAGCTTCATGTACAGGTATATCCTGTTTTACTGCACTTCGTAGACATTTTACAAACTTAAGGCAAGGCCTTCCACCAGTAAACACGTTGACTCCACTTTATAGTGAGACTTGCTCTACTATTGCTGTGGCGTGGAAACAAACCCACAATGTCTGGGGTGTGCCTGTATACCCGAACCTTAAACTTGAGGACTCTACCCTTTTGGCAGTCCTTGCCCCACCCCCCACTAAATTCTTTGCTCAAGGCCTCCCCCTTCACAATCTTCATGTATACTTCTACTAAATTACAAACTGGGTAGAGGGAGGAAAAAGTACCATTGATACCCATTTATTTTCAGGTTTCATCTTTTTAATCAGCTCCATGAAGGACATCCTAAACGCTACATGAAACACAACAGAATATTTTTTCTTCCAGTATTAAAAAAATGACATTCACAAGTATTTTAAGAAACTTCTATATAATCAGGGCAGTAATAATCTTCAGTAAAAAACAAAAACAGACAAAAAAAAAACCTCTAAGTAATCATGTTCTTGATTTCTTGTAGTTACATTTAGAAATTGCTTCCATGATAAACACTGTGTACACGTTTTTAAAATGTCCTTAGACACACATTATTTCGGAGGGAGAGGGGGAAAAAATCAGTCTGGTCAAACATATTTTTTTTTGCCAGGACCAATGCTGAGAACCCAAACTAAAAATAAAAACACATGGAGCTTTCTAAAAGGTCTTTAACAAGCTACCTTGGGAGCTCAATTGAAAAATAGAATAAAACAGATGTTTCAGTGCAGCTCCAAAACTCTTTATAAATACAGCCATTTGGAAGGACGATCCTGGATCAGAAGTTTTATTCCTTGTGTATCTGAAAAGAGTAAGAAGGGGAAGAATTGTGATGTCAGGAAGAAACATTCTGACATGCTCACCTTACTGAGAGCTTCACAAGGACACCCTCCCTGTTCATCGCCATGCCCAGCAGATTACAGGGGAGACAGGTTTTCACGCATGAGTCTCACCTACATTAGGTGCGGCATGCCTCATCTCAGTTGTCGTAATTGTCTCTGTAATTTCCTCCTGAGTAGCGGTCATAACCACCCTGGCTTCTGGGAAAAAACACAGCGTTGTATCAGATAATATTAAAAACCATATTTACATATCATCACATTTTGTATTATAAACTTTAATGTGTTAAACAGGATACATTAAGCATATAATCACGTAGAAATCACAACTATATACAATAAACATAGCACATTGAATCACATTAAATGTTAACACAGAACCAACACCGTACAATAAACATTATCTATTGTGTACTACAATTATATGATCCTCAATCTGTAAAACAAACACCAGTAACATCACAGTGAGATAAATACAAATACCCAGGCAGCCAAACTCTTAAGGAAAGGCAGTACCAAGAGAGGGCCCCAACCCTTGGCTACCCACCTGCCACCATAGTCTCTGGATCTTCCATATCCATATCCATATCCTCCAGGTCGACTGTCATACCTGCCACTCCCATATCCCTGGTCCCCACCACCTATGGGAGACAAATATTTAAACTGGAATTGTCCATACACAGTCCTTTCCCACATACCCCCCCAATCAAATCTACCATTGTAGTTACCTCTAGAGTAGCTGCGGCCACGCCCATGGGCCCCAAAGGCACCCCCTCTGGTTCCCCTGGCTGACTTGCCCGCATGGTCCACACGAATCTGGCGACCATCCAGAGACTAGGTTTGAGGAGACACAAGAAGATGGGTTGGTGGTTACACAGGGAAGTGGTGAGTAAAGAGTGGGCAGGGCAGGTGGGCAAAAGAACCCAGAAACTCCTGCTGGGCACCAGGTTCTGGGTGCCATGTTCCAGAACAAGCTCCTTTGACCAGAATGGCCTTATCAGGAGCTATAGAATCCCACAAAATGACCTGAATCCACCGTGTTCCCCTGCTACTACTTACATCTTGACTGAACTCAGGTGAGTTCTCCTCCCCACTCCTCTAAACTGCCCAACTATTAGGGCTAGGATAGACACCTCTCTTGGTTTGAGACTCCAGAGTCCATCCCAGAAGACTCACGAGGTCCTCTCCGGGCCAGGCCCGCAGGTCTGCAGACTCTACTACCTAAGCCCAGGGCAGGTCAACCATCCACAGGTGGCTTCTCGGCCTCATGCAGGACCAGTCGTCGCCTCCCAGGCAGCCCGGCTCTGTCTGCCGCTGCCCTCCACCCCCTAGAACAGAAGGCAGTCACGCTCCTGTGAGTGGGCACTGTGGGGTTTGGTGGCCGCGCTGCCCCTAGCAGACACAGAGGGAAAAACAGAAAGAATGGTGGAAGTGGTAGAGATGGGGGCAGGACCCCTAATGCAGGTAGAAGGCCTCACCTCTCCATTCATGGCTCTCATGGCATCTGAGGCATGCTCTGGATTGGTGAAGGTAATGAAGCCAAACCCCCGGGATCGCTGAGTCTCCCGGTCCTTGACAACGACCACTAGGAAAGAAGAATAAGATGGGTAAGAAGAAACCGACCAATCTTCAATTAAAAGCTATCAGGCCCTAGCCGGTTTGGCTCAGCGGTAGAGCATCTGCCTGCGGATCGGATCAATGAGTCGCAGGTTTGATTCCGGCCAAGGGCACATACCTCGTTGCGGTTCATCCCTGGCCCTGGTCGGGGTTGTGCGGCAGGCAACCAGTCGATGTGTCCCTCACGTGGATGTTTCTCTCTCCCTTTTTCTCCCTCCCACTCTATCTAAAGGTAAATAGAAAAACGTCCTCCAATGAGGTTTAAAAAGCTACCAGGTTCTCCAAAGCCTGCTAGACTACACCTTAGACCTAAGAACAAAGCAAGGAAAGGAGTACATGAAGGTCTGGGGCCCTGACCTCGCTCTCAATGTTTGCTGAAATGCAAGGGTCCCTCCCACGCTTCCTCTAACTGTCCACCCCATCATGGATCTGGTCCACGTCTCACCCTCAGAAATTGGCCCGAAGCTGCTGAAGTGATCTTCCAGAGCCTGCTCGTCGGTGTTGAAGTTGAGCCCTCCAACGAAGAGCTTCCCTTCTTCAGAGGACATGGCAGTGAATTCGAGTCCTGTGAGGACAATATTGAAGAGAATGGAAAACCAGTGAAAGTGAGAGAACAAAGTTGGAAGAGAATGAGGAAAAAAGGGGGACAAGACAGAAAATAGACACGAATAACAAAATAAGGCATAACTAAGGAGAAACCAAAAAGGCAGACCGAAAAAGACAGAAATCTGCGGGGCAGGTTCAGCCATTTGGGGCCACCTTCGCGCATGCTCACAACATCCCCTGCCACCACGCCCGTCATTTTGTGCCGCCGCGCAAGCCCAGAACATCCATGCGTTCACTGTGCGCCCGCAGAACAAGATGGCGGCGGTCACGTGGGAAAAAAGCCCCCCTCCCCCCCAGGTCTCGGCCGCCGCGTGGTCACCCCTGAGACCAACCCCAGCCCCTCCAGCCCCGGTCACTCCGCCAGCCCCTCCTGGCACTCCTCGTGCTTGGATACAGCGTGCCAGCCTCCCACCAAATCAAAAGTTTGACCTCGGAGCACGGGACCCGCCCGCCCCGAAGAAGCCCAAGCCTACGTGTCCGAAGCCGCTACTCTTCCCACTTGCACGCCTTGCTCTAGGACGGCGTAGCACACACCAGTGAGGCGAGGCGAAGCCGCTCCTTAAGCCAGACACCGCTTACCTGGAAATTAAGTAAAAGGGCTGGATGGACAGTTACCGCCAAGGAGCAGAGCGACTGAGGAGGAGATCGCGCGGGAAGACGCTTAATAAAGCGTACGTAGCGTACACGTCACTGTACGTCCCCTTACGCGCGTTCATTGGCTAAGGCCAGCGAGGGGCGGGGTGGGAGAAATGGACAACAGATTAAAGGACGCGAACCGCTCTGCATGCTTCCGGGAACCAAGGCGAGCTTTGTGTGGTCGGTGTGCTATGACGTAAACATCCCTCCACTGGCCCCAGCCATCTTCACCTCTTATGCGCACGAACCTTTTCGCTTTCACGTCTCTTTCCGTCCTGCCCTCACTTCCTTGACGTCATTTCCCCATTGGTTCCCACGACTTTCTCACCATCCCAGATGTCTTTCTCTAGGCACCCGACGACATTATTAGTGCCCTCTGATAACCTCCTTCACTTTCTAGTCCTCTAACCTCATATCCCTAGAGGGACTAATGCTTTATACCTCAAGGGCCCAATTTTTTGGTGTTTTTAAAAAGTATGTTTTTATTGATTTCAGAGTGAGGAAGGGAGAGGGGGAGAGAGAGAAACATACATGACAGAGAAACATCCATGGGCTTCCTCCTGCACGGCCCCTACTGGGGGTCGAACCCGCAAACCCGGAATGTGCCCTGACCAGAATGGATTGGGTGACCTGGAGGACGCTCAACCAACTGAGCCACACAAGCCAGCCCAGCAAGGGCCCAAAATTTAATCCCCCGCTTTCCCTGACGTCATCACCCTTCACAGTCTTTAACATCAGACATTTTCTCAGTGTTTGATCATGACTTATACGTTTTCTTCTCTGTGCGCAACATCTAGCCGCCTGTCATGGGCCTCTTTACCCTGGCACCGTTCCTACTCATTTCTGACTTCAGCTCTCATCTTTATCTGACAACCTCCTGAAGCCAGTCTTGATTTCTCCACCAGTAGACTGCCTGAGGTGCCTTCTAAAAAAAATAGGATGCTCCAATCGTCAGAAGTAAATCCCAGTCCACACAACAATTTTTGCTGTCACTCAGGGTTGCTGAGCCCTTGATCCACAGAAAGGACTTTGACAATACACAGTGGACTCATCCAAAGCAAGGTGTGTCTGAGCCCACTATCCACAATTTGGTCTTGTACAGCCTTCAGAGTGTGTGAGCTATCTTTGCAATGAATGAATTTCACAGACGTCATTTCTGAACTCCCCATCCAGGAAGAAACGAGTTACTTTGCCCTCAAAGACTAAATTTTTCATCCATAGCCCTGGCCAGTTTGGCTCAGCGGTTAGAGCGTCGGCCCGCGGACCAGAGAGTCCTGGTTTGGTTCCCAATAAGGGCACATACCTCTATCGAAGTTTGTTCCTGGCCCTGGTTGGGGTTGTCTGGGTGGCGACCAGTTGATGTGTCTCTCTCACATCGATGTTTCTCTCTTTCTCTCTCTTTCTCCCTCTCTCCCTCCTGGCTCTATCTGAAGATAAATGCAAAAAAAAAAAAAAAAAAATGTCCTCAGGTGAGGATAAAAAAAAAATACTTCTCTTTAAAAATAAATAAATAAATTTCTCATCCATAGAATGGACTTGTCTAGCTTCTAAGGGTCAGCCCCTCCCCCCCAACACAGACTAAATTTGTTAACTTTTGGAGTATGTATCTACAAAACAAACTTTTCTGGGTTTTGCCATATTGAGACCTATGCCCAGGATGGACATGAATAGATTTCACACTGTCCACAAACATGCTATTCTTAGATAGTCCTCAGAGAATCTGAGACCCATGAAAAAAAGTTACTTGTTTGTCTTTAAAAGTGTCTTGCCCTGGTCGGTTTGGCTCAGTGGTTGGAGCGTTGGCCTGCCATCTGGAGAGACCCTGGTTCGGTTCCCGCTAAGGGCACGTGCCTTGGTTGCAGTTTGTCCCCAGCCCTGGTTGGGTTGTGTGGGTGGCAGCCACTCGATGTGTCCCTTTCACATCGATGTGTCTCTCTCTCTCTCTCTCCCTCCCACTCTATCTGAACAAAATATCGAAAAATGTCCTCGGGTGAAGATAAAAATAAAATAAAATAAAAAAATAAATAAAAGTGTCTGACCTCTGGCTCGGCCGGTGTGGCTCAGTGGTTGAGCATCGAGCCCTGCACCAAGAAGTCAACAGTCCAATTCCCAGTCAGGGCACATGCCCAGGTTGTGGGTTAAATCCCCAGTGGGTGGCATGCAGGAGGCAGCTGATCGGTGTTCTCTCGCATCGATGTTTCTCTCTCTCTCCCCCTTCCTCTCTAAAATCAATAAAGAAAAAAAAATTTTTTGCCCTGGCCGGTTTGGCTCAGCCGTTAGAGCATCAGCCTGCGGTCCAGAGAGACCCGGGTTCGGTTCCCGCTAAGGGCATGTACCTCAGTTGCAGTTTGTCCCCGGCTCTGGTTGGTCGTGTGGGTGGCAGCCACTCGATGTGTCCCTTTCACGTCGATGTTTCTCTCTCTCTCTATTCCTCCCCCCCCCCCCCCACTCTACCTGAACAACAACAACAAAAAAAAATGGAAAAATGTCCTCGGGTGAGGATTAAAAATAAAAAAAAAATAAAAAAAAAATTTTGACCTCTGATCATATTCCACAGTACATGACGCATCATCATTGTTGTTCCATGCAAAGCCTCTCCTTTTATGTATTCTTTTATCCCTGCACCCAACTATCATTCTCTTCCTCCCACAGTTGACCATTTTATTGGATTTAATGTGTATCTTTTTGTGTGATTTCATATAAAATCTACATTTTGTCTATGCTTTTGTTTTGTTAATCTTCACCAGAGGATATTGTTCCATTGATTTTTAGATAGAGTGGAAGGGAGGGAGGGAGAGAGAGACACATTGATTGGTTGCCTCCCATACACCCTGACCAGGGCCCGGGATCGAACCTGCAACCCAGGTACGTGCTCTTGACCGGGAATCAACCCACCATCCTCCGGTGTGCGGGCTGACACTCTAACCACTGAGCCGATCTGGGCTGTCTATGCTTTTAATTAAAGCAAATGGTAGTGTCATTTTATATTTTTTTCCCCCAACTGGCATTATGTTAAGACTCATCACTGTTGTTATAGGTGCATCTAATCTATCTGTTGCTTCTAATGGTTACAATAAACTCCAATGTGTACATCCAGTGCATCATTTTACCCCTAGGTGCGCTCAACAAGGGACACTGGGCTGCCTCCAACACCCTGTTTCAATAAATGTTCTCTGCCCTGGCCAGCTTGGCCAGTGGTTAGAGCATCAGCTGGTGGACCAATGAGTGGCGGGTTCCATTCCAGTCAAGGGCATGCATCTCGGTTGCGGTTCGTCCCCAGTCAGGTCATGCAGGAGGCAACCAGTTGATGTGTCTCTCTCACATTGATGTTTCTCTCTCCCTTCCTCCCACTCTATCTGAAGATAAATAGAAAAATATCCTCAGATGAGAATTTAAAAAAATAATAAATGTTCCCTTATGGGCCAGTGTGAAAATTTCTTTAGGATGTATACTCAGAGAATAGCCAGACCATAGGGGATGTACATAATTTCTGTAAGCAGTGCCAGATTATTATCTGGAATGGATAGAGTAATGTATGAAGGGGCCTACATTTGCCTAATCTCCATCAACACTTAGCATTATCCAGCTTTCTAAAATTTTCCAGTCTAGCCCTGGCTGATTTTGCTCAGTTGGTTAGAGCATTGACCCATGGACTGAATGAAGGGTCTCGGGTTTGATTCCTGGTCAAGGGCACATGCCTGGGTTGTAGGGTTTTTTTTTAAACCTCACCTGAGGACATTTTTTGATATTTTGTTCAGATAGAGTGCGGGAGAGAGAGAGAGAGAGAGAGAGAGAAACATCGATGTGAAAGGGACACATCGAGTGGCTGCCACCCGCACGACCCAACCAGGGCCAGGGACAAACTGCAACCGAGGCACGCGCCCTTAGCGGGAACCAAACCCGGGTCTCTCTGGACCGCAGGCCGACGCTCTAACCACTGAGCAAAACCGGCCAGGGCCTGGGTTGTAGGTTTGATCCCCAGCCTCAGTCGGAGTCATATGGGAGGCAACCAGTCAATGTGTCTCTCTCACATCAATGTTTCTCTCTCTCTCTCTCTCTAAAAGTAAATAAACAAATAAAATAAAATAAAAAATGAAAATTTCTAGTTAAACCAGTGGTCATATTTCATTCAATTTTTTAAAAAACTTGTATTTTAAGCCCTGGCTGGTTTGGCTCAGTGGTAGAGCGTCAGCCCACGGACCAATGAGTCCCGGGTTCAATTCCAGCCAAGGGCACCTGCCTCTGTTGCAGTTCATCCAGCCAGGGTTGTGCGGGAGGCAACTAGTCGATGTGTCCCTCTCACGTCGATGTTTCTCTCTCTCTCCCTCTCTCTCTACCTGAAGATAAATAAAAAATATCCTCGGGTGAGTATTAAAAAAAAAAAAACAACTTGTATTTCAAAATGATTGACAACCGCCCTGGTCGGTTTGGCTCAGCAGTTAGAGCGTTGGCCTGTGGTCCAGAGAGACCGGGGTTTGGTTCCCGCTAAGGGCACGTACCTCGGTTGCAGTTTGTCCCCAGCCCTGGTTGGGTCGTGCGGGTGGCAGCCACTCGATGTGTCCCTTTCACATCGATGTTTCTCTCTCTCTCCCTCCCTCTATCTCCCTCCCACTCTATCTGAACAAAAAATGGAAAAAATATCCTTGGGTGAGGATTAAAAAAAATAATAAAATAAAATGATTGACAATGATTTTTTGAGTACTTTTCATGTGCTTGTTTGATTTTAGATTTCCTCATGTAAATTACTTGTTCGTATCTATATTCCTATTAGTCTAATTCCTATATTCCCATATTTCTCTGGACCCCAAGCCGACGCTCTAACCGCTGAGCCAAACTGGCCAGGGCCCATATTTCTCTTCTTGTTAATTTTCAAGGGCCCCTCACTTGGTCCAATTATGAATCCCTTGCTATAGCTTTTCTTAATCCTTTCATTTTTAACTTTTCTAAATCTTTGTATGTGTGGGTATACTGCTGGACCTTTAAGAAAATTCAATGGGGGGGGGGGGGCGGGTGTTTCTACATTCTATTTCTGTAATTACTATTAAAACTTCTGGCCCAGCCTGGCCGGTGTGGC